GTTTTGTTGATATACAGAAAAAATCCACACAGATGTTCGCCGTCAAAAGCCAGTCATTTTGGCCCTGTGGCCACAGCTGGGCCAGCTCACTGATCTGAGGGCGTGACTCCTGACCCTTAGTGGGTCTGAGGAGTACTCTCTGGTTCTGTCTCAGAAGTGGCTACTTACTAAACGTTGGCTTCCTGAGTTTTGTGCTAGGACGGCTAACATTGATTGAGTCTTTTCTCTGCGCCAGATGCCCTTTCTCCCATCATCCCGTTCATTCTTCCAAACAAAGCTTCTAGGTCCTCATTTTACAGAAGGGAAGCTTGAAGCCTGGCTTCTGGGAAGTTGTGCTGGCCAAGGTAATGAATGACACCATGCTGGCCAAGTTAATGAGTGGCAGGGTTGGATTTCGTGTGTTAATTAGGTTCTATCACCCAAGGAAACACCAGCGAATTCAACTTCAAAGGAGAGAAGACTTATTTAGGCTCTCTGGTTCAAAAGCTTCAGTGTGTGTGTGGCTGGCTCCATTGCTGTCGGTCCACGGTGCTGGACATCATGGCGGCAGTGTACACAGAAGGCGGCTCAGCTCGTAACAGAAAGGAGGTGGGGGAGGAAAGGCAAAGCCCCACTCCTTCCAACTAGCTGTTCCCCTCCCCTCATGGTCCACACAGTTGTGATTCTATCAATAGATTAATTGATGAGGTTGAACTCTATGCTCTCATGACCTCTGACTCATTGAGGACCAAGACATTGTGAACTGACCTTCCCTGGGGAAAAAAGGCACAGTTGTGCTGAAGACTCTGAATGATCAGAACTTCCTGCCTGTGGAAGGATGGAATGGTGCAGATCCAGAGCCAAGATCTTTCTTTGGCCAACCTTAAGAGACATTCTTCGTGCACCTCTGCATCTGACCTCACGTCCTTTAGGGATATATTAAAAGACTAATGGCTGCCACCAAGCCCAAGGCTGAGAATGTCAACACACAGCACCTGAGACCTGCAGTAGAGATGTCCATGCTCCTACCCACCTGCTGGCCGGATGCACCAGTGACCTTGCAAATGATTGATTATGACTTTCTTCGTTCTGTCATCGTAAAAGATCCATGAAACTGATTCCACGTTGGAACATGGAATTTGGGGAACCTGAAATCTGTGTTCCTGGGTCGTGCTCGCTCATACTTGGTTCCAGAATAAACGCTTATTTCATTGGAGGTAAGACCTCCAATGTGTGCTCCCATGTGGGGGATGCTTGTGTTTTACTCACTTGCTCTTCTATCTTACTTAATTCCTAAAAATATTTATTTATTTTGTTTTATGTGTTTGAATGTTTGGCCTGCCGCATATGTGTATGCAGTGCTTTTGTGCCTGGTTTCAGTGGAGGCCAGAAGAGGGCAACAGATCCCTCGGAACTGCAGTTGCCAATGTTTGTGAGTCGACATGTGCGTGCTGGGAACTGAATCCACATCCTCTGCAAGGGCAACAAATACTCTTAACTGCTGAGCCAGTTCTCCAGTTCAACATCGTCACTGTTGTCCTCATCCTTGTCCTCCCCATCCTCCTTCTCCTCTCCTCATTATTATTATTTTGGAGACAGGGTCTCCCTTGTCCTGGCTGTCCTGGAACTCACTATGTATACCAGGCTGGCCTTGAACTCAGAGATCAGCCTGCCTCTGCCTCACCAGAGACATGTATCACCATGCCTAGCATCTATGTTGTTGTTGTTATTATTATTATTATTATCATCTTGAGGCTTTTACTGAATCTTCTGCCAGGACAGCCAGCTAGCAAGGCTCAGGCATGGCCTCTTCATCCCAGTGCTGGGGTTACAGAGGTGTGCTACCGTGCTTGGCTTTTCTGTGTGTCCTAGGGATTTGCACTCAGCTCCTCGTGCTTTCATAGCAAGCACTTTACCAAATGAGCCATCTCCTCAGGCCCTGAGAGCTGTGTTTTTGTATCAGCACCTTCGATATATGAGTCTGGGGGCATATTTCACAGTGAAACCACGACAGTCTGCTTCCAGGGCCGGACTCCAAGCCACTGCACTGTACGACCCTCACTCCGGAGGGTGATCGGACTCTCAGGGCCAGAAGCTGGGCAAGAGACTATGCCTATCAGGCATCAGGCCATTGGCTGCACTGTGGGACATGAGGCCCTATGTCTCACAGTGGTTCCTCATCTGTTTTCAAATTAGAATCAGAAGAAGTTTCTAAAACAGTGTAATCCCTTTTACAGTCCATGTGAAAGCAAGGGGCAGTGGCATTTTGATTTTTTGATTTTTCCCTTTTCCAAGTGTGACGATATGTTTATTTACTGGTTCATCCAATCCATCAAAGGTGTTTTAGTATCTACACTGGCCTGTGCCATTCCCTGCATGGTAGAGACAAGGGAAGGCTGATCTCATGTTTGCTCTGCTGGGGCACAGGTGACCTGCCCTGCTGGGCTAAGCTTCCCTTTATGGAGGAAGGGAGAGAACAGTTTCTCTGGTTAGGGGTGAGCTCCAGAACGGGCCAGTGTGTTCCCTTCTCAACCGTGCTGCTACATGGGGCCTTTCCTTGGCCTGCTTCTCGACAGATCTCATTGCTTCAGAATCCAAATTGAGATCGCAGAAGCACTCACTGACTGCAGGAGTTAGACAGGCTCTGAGGAGTGACTCAAGCCCAGAGCCCTTGAACTTCAGTGGGCAAAAATAGTGAAGGACCCAGCCAATAGAAGGATACCAGGAGCCCACCCCCCAAATTACAAAGCCAGGCTTGTAGTTGGAGCCCCAGAGATATGCATTGCATAAGTACTCCAAAGTAGTGTGGTGCTCATATCCCTATGGCCTTCAGCCCTGGCCATACCTGAGGAGATCCTGGAGTGGGTCTCCCACAAACATTGATTTCCAGGCTTCATCCCTGGAGTGTTTGGTTAGTATTAGAAGCTCTCTTGTGCTGGGCATGGTGGTTGATGCATATAATCCTATCATTCTGGAAGTGGAAGCAGCAGGAACATGAGTTCAAGGCTAGCCAAGGCTACATAGGAAGACCTTGTCACAGAATGCCACAAACAGGAGTTAGGAAGGTAGCTTGGTGGTAAAAGTGTTTTCTGCAGAACTGCAAGGACTTCCAGAAACCAATACAAAAACCAGACGGGCTTAGAAGATTCTAAGCCTGTAATTCTAGCCTTAGAAGGCAGAGACAGGATCCTCGGGGCAAGCTGAGGTTAGATCGGAAGACACTGCTTCAATGAATAAGGTGATTGCTGGCACATCAACTCAGGTCTCCATAGGCATGAAAACACAGGTACATACACACACCCCTTTACATGTTCTCCCATACACATACAAAGCCATACATGCATAATACACACACACACACACACACACACACACACACACACACACACACACAC